GGGGAGGGATGTGATGGAGTTTGTGCGGCTGAAGGTGAAATATGAGGTAACCTTCGTCTTCAAAATTTTGTTTCAAATTATTATGTTAGAACAAGAGTATTGACAATATATTCCATTATTCCAGTCCGATATGGCAAAAGAATTAGTTCACGAGAATCTTCCTTTCTTTTTTTTTTTTATAGAAGAAAATGACCAAGTACATTGTGTAGGAAAATCACTCTCGTTACTAGGTACAATTTCCCTGTCGAAAGATGTCCTGAAATCTTCTTGCCTATAATGTAGAGATAATATCTTCTTCTCTCAACGGCCACAAAATCCTTTCCTTCTTCTGCTCGACGAATTGCGCAACGCCCCCTGTTATCTCCTCAGATACGAACGCGAACAGGGAAATTAAGAAAATGACGAGTTTAATTTTCTCCTATGAGAGATTTCATCCTGCCTATATCTGGTAGGATACAAGTATAAAACCAATTAGATGCATGGAAAATGTGAGACGCTTCTAGAGAACGCTTTATGAAAACAAAACACTAAGGCCTGACAAGCCTCGCTTTCGCACAACTCATCCCGGGCTAACCATGTGTCATATTAGCACTCGAAGTGATATTTGTTGTCGGGGTTTTGTTCTCATGCCCAGGCTTATGAGGTTCAAGCCGTATTGCCCTACACACTGAGTACAGCTAATAACACTTTAATCCCTGAGAGTGACTAGCATCTAATTTCTCCATTCAATATCACCCCTGAGTCACACATTAAGGTCATGAGAATAAAGGAAATGATAATCGACTGAGGAACCTCTTGATTGTTAAACAAATTCTCCTTGCCAGCACATAAGAAAATATATAGAGAACAGTTTGGAGAATATGCATTCTGATATTGGAGTGTAAAGGGTTAAAGACGTCACGTAATAAGTTATATATATGTAGAGTACTGCTTGAATATATGATTGCATTAAGTACAAATGCCAAGTAAACATCATTCTGTGGTCTTCTACTCTTCCACCCCGAAGGTTACCTCGTGTAACAAAAAAAAAAACTTTTTAAAGACACCTCTACTCGCCGTTGCAGTCAAAACTAGTCTATTTTTCTTAAGAGGAATGAGGATAGCGAGGGAGAAATGGGATTGGAACTGATTTAAAACAAAAACTTTGTTGGGAAAAGAAGCGTGCTGTATCTCCGCAAATCCGGATCCTCTGAGGTGATCAAATTGAGCAGATCTCTCAGCCTTACAGAACCCAAGTTGATCTGTATTATAATATAATTAACTGTCACTGTTTGACTTTATTGTCGTATTAATCATACTATTAAGGTTCCTTACGATAATGATTAAGCTCTGTTCTCCCCCTTTGTTTTTACATATCTTTTATGCGTACGGTCCTTTCAATTTTGATTTAGACTTGGTAGATTCCTTTGTTTAATCCTGTTAGTCATGAAACCGCACTCGCCACCAACTGGCTCGATCCGGTTGCCGAGTTTTGGTTCTTTACTCAGTGTAGCAAAAATTTCGTGGAGTCAATGTGAGAAATT